CACACGTGGAGTGGGCCTGTGATTCCACCTTTTACATGGGTTCCAGGAATTGAACTCAGATCAGTAGGCTTCACTGAAAAACACCTTTACTCACTAAGCCATCTCACTAGCCCTGTGTAATTTGCTGGTAGATGTCAGCCAGGCTCAGTAAGGCATGTTTGTAATCCTAGCCCTTATGTCCAGTTTAGGCTATGTAGAAAGACCTTTTCTTTAATTAAAAAAAAAAAAAAAAAAAAAAGTTCCCATTAGCACAGTGGTTCACATGTCCCTTCTTGCATGTACATCACCAGCCCTAAGAAAAAGTACCACTATTCACACCTTTCTACTGCCAAGCCAGCTGGAGCTCAGCAATCCTGGCTAGCCTGGCTTCTGCACCAAGGACAAACCCCCTCAAAACTCTTTCCTTAAACACTTTGCTCCCTGGCTTCAACAGTGGCTTATGAGTGTACACTCTGAGACTTCACTCTGTACTCATAATATAACAAGTAGGGGCTTGTCGGGTGTGTATCTGGAACATGCTGGTTGCTACTGTAATGTTTAGGAAACTTGAAAGCATCAACATCTAAAACAGAGGTGATGGGATCAATAGTTTCTGGGGGATCGAGAAAGTTGATGTGAAACCAGTCGCTACAGTTTGGGATCTGGCTGCCTTTCCTTCATGTTTTGTGGTCACCAACTATTACTAATACAGAACTTGGTGTGCTCTACTAGACCCAGGCTCCAATTCCTTTGAAAATAACGGCAAACCCAAACATAGGACCGATTACTTTGGATTATGCATATTGTATTTTAGTAGTTCGGTTCTCCTAGTACCTGTGCCTCTGACGTGGTTTTTCTAATTTCTGTGTCTCTGGAATTGTGTCCTGTGTGTTCTATGGAGGACTGTTAAATGTAGAAACTCATGAATATTTAATAGCATCCTTTAAACCTGGAAACTCCCTAAAGAATGTTCACACTTGGCAGCCAGGGGGCAGTCTTGCCTACTTGGAAATGGTATTGACTCTGTCCCTGGAGAAAATGAGTTGGAAAGCATCTCAAAGGTTACTTCGGTTTTTAAGTTTTCATTCCAAGGCATTTCAAAGGTAACCCCTGTTGGCAGAGTTTGTTTAAGCAGGAAGCAACATTTCGTTCTCAATTGCTCCTCCAGGCAGGTAGCCACAAGCCTACCAAACCAGTGAGAGGAAAGAGACCTGGAACTGACCAGTCAGGCTCTGCAAGATTTGCAGAGTGAGATCAGTCCCTGCCCCTTTGGTTTAGAGTACAACAGAGGATCCCAGCAGTTGGCTCATGGGCTAAGCAGCCAACACCGGTCTTGCCTGGCTGGGCTCCTGTGCTATGGAGACCCACCACATTCCAGGTTGAAATTTGGATTCAGGGTGGATTTTCCCTTCCGTGAGGAACATACGCATATCTCCCCAGCTTTCTCATGCTAACCCCAAAGTATGATCACTTCTGAACCTGAGCCATCCTTAATAACACTGCCAGGATTTGGAAGCAAGAACATCAAGCCTATAGGATGACTGTGCAGTCTTGTGACATATCATAAAGGAACTCTGAATCTTAACTTTAAACAAATCCCTTGGCAACACTTTTTAAAGTTATTTTTTAATATGCGCATGGCTTAAAAATTCAAACAAAAATTCCATTATTGAAAATTAAAATTTTCTTTTAAAAAGTGAAAGCTTTAAAATAGAATTCATTTGCATAAGAAAACGTAAATTCTTTTAAAAGGCCATTTTGATAGGGAGTACATGTGTGGGGTGTCTGGTACCCATGCTATTTGTTTCCTCCTTGTCTCCTCTAGACAGCTCTCACTAGGCTCATTCCTCCGAGGCCCAGATCTTCCTGGGCTCACTCTGCACATTGCAGGAGTCACAGGCATGTGTTTTTTGTTTTGTTTGTTTAGGTTTTTGGACACAGTCTCACTTTGTAGACCAGGCTGGCCTTGAACTCAGATCCACCTTCTCTGCCTTTTTGGTGGGAGGAGTAAAGGTATACACAACTATGCCTGGCCCTAAAAATCATTTTAAGACACGAATTAACTCGGTTTTTAGGGTTTGGCCACCAAAAGCCACCTGAGAAGAGCTAAAGCCACATTCCAGGAAAGGACACATCTGAACTGAAACTTTATTGCTTTTAAAGCTAGATCCTCGAGCGATCAGAATCCTGGCCCTACACTCCCTCCTGGACCCCTTTCAATGGCACAAGGGCTGAGCATAGGAGCCGCATTGTATGGAACGTGCTGTTTTGGCTGAGAAAGAGCTGTGGGGTTACAGTATCACAACCCGGACACAGCTGTTTGTGACAAAGTCCCTGTCACCAAATAAACATTCTACCTCACCAAACACCTGCTTCCTGTTTTTTATTCTTCCCTTTATCACTCTATCCTGACTTCCTTCCATCTGTAGGCCACCAAGACAAGAAAAGTGAAGAAAGGCCACGTTGGCTGTCAGCTCCCTATGAATTTTGAGAGGGCAGTTAGTCATTCGGCTTGAAGGGATGGGGGAGGAGAGGCCAAGGCCCCTCAAAACACATTCCGAGATGGAAGGCAGCAGCGTGGTCTCCCTTGAGGTGACTAATTTCCTCTCTCACTTCCTGTGAAGAACTTTTCCTGTGGAGGCAGTGTCTGAGTCCTACAATGGTAAATTGCATCACCAAAGGAAAGTCGTGCCCAATAAGGCAAGGCAGTAACTTACCTAGGGCTACCACACACCAAACAGGGTCCTTTATTTCCACACCTCACACACAGCTATACTGCAGGATGTCTTTACATTTAAGGAAATTTATTTTTATGCAGATAGGCTCAGATCAAGGAAGCATCTGTGTCACCGACGAGATGCAGCTGGCACTGCAGGCAGAGGGCGGGCAGTGTCACCCAGTGACAACCTGTGAAGCCCTGGGGCTCAGGAGAGGGCCTGCACACACTCAATCCTTGTCGCTTACAGGCCGGCAGGGCCCTAGGTTAAGGAAGCCGAAGCAGCCTGTCTGATGCACCCACTTTAGACAGCAGAAGGCTAGCAAGGCTCTTTTAAATCCCTGAGCAGGGAAGTGCTCTGTACAATAGATGCTGCATGCTCGGGTGCCGCTCAGCAGCTGCCATCAGCACACGAGGCCTGGACTGAACCCCCGCCAACAAAAATAAATGAGGTGACCGCGAGGCGAGAAGAGCTTCGATGTGATCAATAACCCATCCTTCCACTCAAACAGCACTAGCTCTGGGACCTCTGAGAGGCGTGCAACAGCAGCAGGGTGTGGCCTTTGGTCCCATCAACCCTTCAGTATCCGGCGCAGAGGCAGACCTTCTGTAACAGCACTAAGGAGGTAGAGGCAGGGGTTCCAGGTTGACCTCCACTTCGTGCCAAGTCTGAAGCTACGGTGAGCTACAAACCTAAAATACTTCAGTATCACATCATGTTCAAAACAAGTAAGAACTTTTCTTCTAATACGAAGTTTTAAGAACTTTTTCCAGCCATGACTTAAACAGAATAAAATGCACTTAATTCTTGAAGTTTTGGTTTGTGAGCCTTAGCCCTGAATAGCTAAGGGACCCACTGTGACAACTAAAACATTTCCTTTGCACCTGAGCAGTCTTTGCAGTTTTCATTGCATCCTATTAGCTCTTTACTGTTAGACTACTCAAATGCATCTTTAAAAAGATTTATTATGTGGCTGCACACAGAAGAGGGTACCAGATCTCATAGATGGTCGTGGGAATTGAACTCAGGACCTCTGGGAGAGCAGCTAGTGCTCTTAACCTATAAGCCGATTCCCAGCCCCTTAAATGTATCTTTTAAAATACCTAATGCTGGAAGTATAAGACAGCTTAAAGTAAAAATGTTTTCAAAGCAGTACATACTGCCAGGAGGTGGTACTGTATCCCTTTAATCCCAGTATGTAGGAAGGAGGCAGCTGTGGGTTTGGCCAGCCTGGTCTACAGAGCTAATTCTAAGACAGCAGGGTTACACAAAGAAATCCTGTCTCAAAAAACAAACAGCAAAAGAAAAAGCAGACACAGAAGACAAATGCTTCCACAGACAGTTCCCCAGTTTTATATCATTCCTCTGCAAAAAGATTAATAAAAGCCAAGCATGGTGGACATGCCTAGGAAGGCAGAGACAGGCAGATCTATTTGAGGCCAGTTTGAGGCCTAGAGTTCTAGGCCATCCAGGGATTAAGTGAGGACCCCAACCCCCAAAAGGATTGACGAATTAACCAATTTACTGATAGTTACGTAAAGCACTGCACTCAACATTCCATATTGCTGGGACAAGAGGCATGGGCCGCCACCACCCCTAACTCATCACTTCTAACTGCACTTTCCACCCAAGACCACCAGCTGCCAGACTTCTAGGCCCTTCAAAAAACAGGACTGTACATACAGATTCAGGGTCTGCCAACAGCTACCAACAGAAGCTTTATGTGGCAGCTTCTAACTTTGCTCAGGAAAAGCTGGCTTGCTGCTCCCTGGCTCTATTTAGACCTCACTGTCAGAAAGGAGTTCACTAAGAAGCAGCTGCCCAGAGCAGCTGCCACCAACTGCCACAGAGCCTGGTATCTCTGTGAGTGAATGTTGTTTCATTCAAGCTGGGAGACTTGGAGTTTCTACCAGAAGAGCTAAAACTAACCAGGTCTCTGAAAAATACAACCATGTTTTAATAATTGATTTCAGCTGGGTGGTGGGGGCACATGCCTTTAATCCAGCACTCGGGAGGCAGAAGCAGGTGGATCTCTGAATTCAAGGCCAGCCTGGTCTCTACAGAGTTCCAGGACAGCCAGGGACGTATAGAGAAACCCTGTCTCAAAAAGGGGGTTAAAAATGGATTTCAAATTCAAACACAGAAGTCGGTCTAAGGATGATTTTCCTTATCTCCAGTTCTTACTAGAGAACTTACACAGTTCTGGATAAAAACTGAAACTCACTCTAGACACATGCATCACTTTATAGACTAGATCCCAGGTCAACAAACATAAGGTATAAAAGTCAGTATAAAACACATTACTTGATTTGTGAGTTTTGGGTTTTTATTTTAAGACAACCAGTTAGGAATCACCTTAACTGTTGGAGAATTCTAATGAATTATTCAAGATCAAAGTTTAATTGTTTAGCTAGGCATGATGGCTCAGGCCTATAATCTCAACGCAGGGGAAGTAAAGGGTCAGGAATTCAAGGACAGCAGGGGATGCATGAGACCATATTTCATACAAACAAAAACAATAATCACTTAAGTAAATTAAGCTTCTGTAAGCTCATTAACTTCTGAATATTTTACAGTAATGGAGTTTAAGCTGAGCATAGTAGTCCCACCTGCCAGGAAGGCTAGAGCTCAGGATTCAAGGCCAGCTTTAAAACCACCACCTAAAACAAAACACAAACCCCTATTTCCATTTGTTACAGGCTTCTATAACCACTCAATAAGTTTCTTAAACTGAAATGTCTTCAAGTCTGAGACAAATAAATTTTTATCAATTGGAACACTATCTTCAAGAACAACGAACGCTAAAGGCTTGATCACGATCTATACTTAGGAATGCTGGGAAAATTAATTTATGACCTTTCCTTCTCTAGCTCCACTGCTGATATGACTCACCAGCTGTCAATCACATTCTGACCATTTCCATCCCAACTGGGATTCACTATCCTAACAGTGGGCAGCAGAGCTTCCCTGGGGCTACTGAGAAAGAGAAGCCATAGCTCCTTAGCACCTGCTCCCAGGCCTACTAATCAATCCTCTACACTTGCCCTTCATTCTGACAAAACAGGAAAGAAGAGACCATGAAGACAGTAAAACATGTTTTAGCCAGGCGATGGTGGCTCACCCTTTTAATAATCCCAGCACTCGGGAGGCAGAGGGAGGCGGATCTCTGTGAGTTTGAGGCCAGCCTGGTCTACGGAGTGAGTGTCAAGATAAGCTCCAAAGCTACAGAGAAACTTTGTCTAGAAAAACCAAATAAAAAAAAAAAAAAAAAAAAAAAAAGTTTTGAAGTAGTTAAAATTAGGCTGAGCAGTGATGACACACACCTTTAGTCCCAGCACTTGGGAGACAGAGGCAAGGGAATCTCTCTGAGTTCAAGGCCAGCCTAGCCTACAGAGTGAGTTCCAGAACAGCCAAAAATCCTGCCTCAAAAACAAACAAATAACAAAAAGGGGGAAGGTGCTTTTAAGTAATCTTTTTTAAAAAAAATCACCTGCTTAAAGGCCATCACCGTTGAACTTTTTGAGGCATACACCAGGAAAGGTTTGGTTCTGTGCAGCTTCTGCTGCCTGGGATTTTACTCGGGGATCAATCCGAGGCCTTGAGACCCCCAAGAAGCTCTCAACACGTCTGCTTTACTGAAGGGAGTTCAGGAGCTGTAATACTTGAGGAGATTCTCATCTGTAGGCTTTAGAATTTTCTTATCTGCCATATTCACCACCCAACCAGGAGCAAGACCAAAGAAAATTTGCCTTGGATCCTTCCGAGCGCTGAGCATTTTAAAAAGTTCATCTTTCGTAATATCGGGAAGAACATAGCCGTACTTCATGGCGAGCTCAAGTCTTGCTTCAGGAAACTTGGCAGGGTCAGCCAGGTAGCCCCGGTTTTTTGCATCTGTGTAATACGGTACCAGAGCTTCAGGTGGGAGCATTCTCTTTGGAATGGGCTGTCCCCGAAGAAAGAAAGGAACAGGCTTGCACAGGATTTCTAAACAGAATTTTAAAAAAGAGATGTAAATACTGGCTATACATAAGAACTATGTTCAACATTTTAAAATTATTTATTTACTGAGATGAGAATTGAATTCCAAGAACTTTTTGGTTCAATGGGGTTAAGAAAGAAAATAGAAACAACGCCTCACAAATTTCTTATTTTCTTATTATTATCCTGTATGCCATGCTGCATATGGAGATCTGATGATAACTTTCAGAAGTTGGCTGTCTCCCTCCACTGTGGGATCAAACTCAGGTCAGACTTGCACAGCATGGGTTCCTACCTGAGCCAGGCTGGAAAAAGTCATTTTCAGTAGTTTATAATTTGGAAAAAAGAAGACATAGAGGGGGCCAGTCAACACTTCAGATGCGCTAACACCCCTCTGAAAAAGATATTTAAACTTTTTTTTTAAGTTGTAGTTATGTGTATATGACTGCAGTGCCCAAGGGGGCCTAGAGAGGGCAGCTGTGAGCACAACAGAAGCACCAACAACTGGCAAGCCAGCAGTGGGCAATATGGGATAAAGAGAGAAGAAAGTGACCGGAGGGCAGACTTACCCAGACTTCTTGGGTCATAGAAGGCTGTAGTAACAACACCGCCATTTCTTTCGATCGCAGCAATGGCTAATTCTGAAGCCAACTGCACCTCAATATTCACTTTTGCTTGAAAAGTATCAGCGCCCTGTCAGAGTTAACACAAGGCTTGTGAGTGGATGGCTTGGCTGACGGCAATCAGCACGGGTCCATATTCAGCTGTGCTCCCCACGCCAGAGAACCTGCAGCCCCACCTCTGACTACCTCTGCTTACGGCCACTATGCTTCACCTGTTCTCAAGCCCTGCACTCAGTAGGTAGTGAGAGAAGCATCCACTGGCCACACTCCATTAGCAGTAAGTACGCTATTTAATCCTAGCCAGGATGGGGACAAGGAGACATAGCGGCTGCTGAGTAACTCATCCAAGACACAAAGTCAGAACACTAATCCAGAGTATAGCCAGAGCCTGTGAGTTGGAACTTTCCTTTTTCCAATGCTGAGAATGGAAAGCCAAGGATAGTCAGCTACATACCCAAAAAACTATATTCAACTCCCCCCTACCTGTGTGTGTGTGTGACTGCAGCATGCATGTGAAGGTCAGAGGACAATTTTGTGGCGTTCCCTTTCCACCTTGATGTAGATTCCAGGTGTTAAATACATGTCTCCATGTCTGAGTGGCCTTTACCCACAAAGCTATTTTACCAGCCCATCTCTATTCTTAACCACAACATTATGATCCGTTATACAGACAAAAACCAAATGTCCCTGAGACTAGAGTGATGGCTCAGCAGTTAGAGACTAGTTGTTCTTCCAGAGGACGCCAGTTTGATTTCCAGCACCCACATGTGTTGCCTGAGAGCCATCTGTAACTCCTGTGCCAGGACCCCAATGCTGATGCCCTCTTCTGGCCTCCCCAGGCAACAGACACATATGGGGTATGTGTATGCATACATGCAGGTGAAAACAGACACATAAAATTCTGTTTTTAATTTTAATAATGAAATAAAAACAAGTCTTCCTTATCACTAAGTAAGCAACAGAAGGTTAGAGAGGAGGCAAGGGTCTGGAAAACAAAATTAACCGACAATACTAAAGGAGTTAACTGTCTAAAGAACAATGGGGGGGGTCCATTTTGTATTCACTGCTCTCTATAATGGAGGAGGCATCTACTTTTCTCTAGAATGTTTAATAGAAGATGAAGCAATGGACTCCTTATAAAGTCCTATCTAACCTCAAAACACTGCTTTTGCCATTTTACTATGGATAAAACTAGTTCTATTCTGATTTCTTTGTTATCAACATTTCATATATTCTGAAATATTCTAGCTATTCTATCAACTATAGGATGTAGTTTCTTTTTATATTTGATAATAGTGTGCATTTTTGTAATCAATAGACTATCAATTCAGAACTAGGGAGTTGATGTATTAATTTGTGATTTTCTTTTCTATTCAATTACTCTCTGAGGCCGGACAGTAGTGGCAGAATAGCCAGAGCTATTACACAGAGAAACCCTGCCTCAAAAACTAAATGAATAAACAAACCAACAACTACTCTGTTACACTCTGCAGTCTGCTCACCCATTTCACTATTCTGGCTCTGGTGTTGGTTCAGTATTATAAATTGCATTTTTACGAAGATCTACAAGTTGTGTTTCTTTTAATTTCATGGAGAATATATATTCCCAGATAATTCTGTGCCTACTAACCACAGCATCTTATTATCCACTATTTACTTGCAGAGCTAAACTCAGAAAAGGCAAACAATATACAAGCTATTAGTGAGTGACATTTCTTTAACCATTGTCCCAGAATAGAATTCAGTATAGTGTCCACTAGCATAATACACATATACCTAAAGCATATTGAGACATGCAGTTTAAAAACTGCCAAGGTCATGGACTTTTCTATGAGGTACATGTCCTTTTCTTTACACATCCACAGTAGAATATTGAAGCTCAATCATATCTTTGGTATTGCTTTTCCAAATGAACTTAACTACTTGGTTTTATTAGAGTTCGTTTGTTTTGTTTTTCTTTTAGACAGGGTTTTATAGTGCAGGCAAGGCATACCTAGAATTCATTATGTAGCTCAAGGCAGCCTCAAACTCCCAGCAATCCTCCAGCCTCAGCCTTCTAAGTGCCGGGATCACAGCATGATCTACCATATCAGATACCAAGTGAGACCTGGAAAGCTCTCGTCTTTAGGTCACATTCTCAAAGGTCTTTAAAAGGTCCTCCCATGGACGGACATATGCTTCCCTCTAGTGGACACCAAGTTACTACCCAGCTAAGTAGTTAATCTGCTTATGAACTGTTGTTGGTCCATAGGTGTAACAGAAATTTCTACTGAAGCTGAAAGGGATTTAATTCACTCCTTTTTTCCATAACTATCAGCAACTTTCAGAGCTAAGATTGCCAATACTGGAACTATACCAAAGTACCTTTACAAGTTTTAGGTGACAGTGAGAAAGAAAAAGAACCAGAGTGCAGTTATGTCCCAGAGAGTAAGAAAAATCATTTGGGAGGCTGGAGAGATGACTCAGCAGTCAAGGGAACTAGCTGTTCCAGAGGGCCAGGATTCTATTACCAGAACCCATATGATGGCTCACAGCATCTATAACTCCAGTCCTAGGGCATTCAAAGCTTCAGCTGGCGCCAAACTCACATACGGTGCCCACATGCAGGCAAAACACTCACACACATAAGATAAAAAAAAGAAAAAAGATGCTTTGGGCAGGAAAAGGCAGACATAGTGTACTTCTAAGAGTGGGAACGGAGCCGCAGGTAGTACTTGAGTTACTGGCAGGCCCTTGTCATCTTAATGCAATGTGCTTAAACTATTTGTTAAAAAGAATAGGGTAGGTGAATCATCGTACTGGTACAGGCCTGCCATCTCAGCACTCAAGAGACAAAAGCAGGGACCAACCTGGTCTACACAGTGAGTCCACGACAGCCTGCCAGAGCTACCCTGCCGCAAACAACAAAAATAATTCCTATGCTGACAGGTGAAAATCCAGGAAACAAGGGAGGAAAGGAAAAGTTGTACAGACCCACAAAAGCAAAAGACAGAGCTATGCCCTGAAGGCACATCAACATTCTGCAACCACAGTTAATATGAACTATGTTTGAATATATTCTGTGTGTTTTGTCTGCATAAATGTCTGTGCACCATGTATGTATATGCAGTTCCCATCAAGGCTGGCAGAGGACGGTGGGTCTCCTGATACTGAAGTTACAGACGGTGTTCTGGGTGAACAGCTGATGTTTGTTACTGCTGACCTCTCTCTCCAGCCTGCATGGGGCAAGGGTTGATTGAGTAATCCCTCAGTTTCACCTTCACAGTTTCAGTTACTGGTTCTGCAGAGCCGGGAATCAAACCAAGATCCTGTGCAAGTTGGAAATGCATCTCCAGTACACTTCAGGTTTTCAACTGTTTTGCATGAGGTCTCATGGCCATCCCTCCCAAACATGAATACCTTTCTGTACCAGTGTCACACTGTTTGCCATAGTATTGCAGTACTGTATAGTTATCCCTTATCTTAACGACGGCCCCAATGAATTCCAACATGACAAAGGGGAACTACAGAGTGTGCATGAAGCAAAGAGATGGAAGTTCTCCATTTAAAAAGTTGTAAGTTAAGGTTCCTAACAGCTGTAGCAAATTATTATTAACGCCCCACTATGCCTAACTTATGAAGTAATTTATATCTGAAGCCTGCATGCAAACAGGAAAACAGTTTATACAGTTTGGTGAAGTATCCACATGGTAGGTGTCCCTCACAGGTTAGGAGGCACTATTATGGCAAACTGTCTATACACCACCAAAACCTCCCCAAACAAACAAAAACAAATCTAGAGTTACCTCTTCAACCAGCTGGACCCCATAATCCCTTTTAAGTGGTTGGATAGTCACACCTCTCCCATTGACAAGCTGAGTTAAGTCAATAGGTTGTGTTGGATCAATTCGGCCTAAATCAATGAGATACTGCAGTCTCCTGAGACTCAAAGGCTGATACTGATGCCTGAAACTGCAAAACAGGAACAGAATAGTTAGGAAACACCAAGCAGTCTTCCTGTAACCTGTTCAAATCAACAGCTTTGTTCTGTTTTCCTTGATGATTTCTGATGGTTTAAAATAAACATATGAGTAACATACAAAAACATAAAACACTGGTGCTTCCTTTCTTCCATTAAAAACAATTTACCTCTAAATATTCATTTCATGTACACAAGTAAACTCAAAAGGTTTAACCCAAAATAACAATCATAGAATAATGGTAGCTACAATATGCTATATACATATATACATACCTGCACATATATTATATATATATATATATATATATGTATGTATGTATGTATAGAAAGATACACATTCCTTTTGAACTGCTAATTGTCTAAAGAATCATGATAGCAAGCATTGTCATCCCCATTGTGTTGGTAGAAGAATATCTTACATACTTGCCTAAGAGACACACACACACACACACACACACACACACACACACACACAATGTTAAGTGTCCTATCTGAAAATTGTTCAGAGAAACAGTACCACAAGCTTGCTTCTAAGTAAATATAAGGTTTCTATCATACTTGTTTATGTAATTCTTGGTGAAAATTAGGGATTTGTACTTCAAAAGCAAAACACCCTTACCTATGTCCTTCATTGAACCCATATTTTGGGATTCGGATGTAAAATGGAGTCTGCCCTCCCTCAAAGCCCAGCCGGGGTCGAGTTCCTCTCTGTCTCTCTCCTTTGTGGCCTCTGCCACATTTCCTACCTCTTCTCCGATCTCTTGGACGTCTTTCCTACAAGGAAAAGTGAGTTGCAAGACCTTCAGATACATTTCTGCAAACGGTTTCACCTCACAGCACATTCCTTTATTGTGCCTTCATTCACCCAGCCTGTACTAGCTAGGGTACTGAGTGCCAAGCGCTGCCACAGCTCTGGCTACTCATACTTCTTCTCATACTTCCGTGCCCTTCACTAGCACAGGACACTTGGAACGTCTAGTAACCAAAATACAAGGTGGAACACAAGGCAAAGTTCCAAGGATGGATGGAATCCCTGGGAGTAACAAGCTCTGCAATAAGCCAGGTCCCAGGCTAGTCGGCTAGTGCTGACCTGTAGTGACAACTAGTTGGAAAGTTGAGGTAGGCACTGGGCCGATGCGCCTCATCCAGACGCGATTCTGCGCGACCCCCGCAGCTCCCCAGAGCGCGTCCCTCTGCAAACCGCGTCCCTCTGCAAACCGCGCCCCTCTGCAAACGTCGCCCCTCTGCAAACCGCTTCCCTCTGCAAACGTCGCCCCTCTGCAAACCGCGCCCCTCTGCAAACCGCGTCCCTCTGCAAACCGCGTCCCTCTGCAAACGTCGCCCCTCTGCAAACCGCGTCCCTCTGCAAACCGCGCCCCTCTGCAAACGTCGCGCTCTCCAGCCTTGCAAACGCTGGGCGCACGCGGGAGGGGGAGGGGGCCGGGCGCCCGGGGAGCCCACCCGCGCCCCCCCACCCGCGCCCCCCGTTTACCCGTTTTCTGGAGCCAGCGTTGGGCTTCAGGTTGGCCAGGCTCACTCGCGGCAGGGAGCGGAGCAGGTCCAGGCCGGCCCCGCCGCCGCGCACCACGCCGGCCATGACCCACGGTTTCGCCAAGGGCGCCCCGGCAGGCCGCGCTGCCCGGAGTTGCTTTACGGCCTCGCCCCGCCCCTGTCGCGCGCCGGCGTCCGCGGAATACGGACTCTGGCTTCCGGCTTCCGAGCCTGAGGGCGAGTTCGGCTGCTTTTCTTTGTTTTGGAATGGCGTCGGCTCTCCTGCGATCGTGCTTTTGCTTCCGTACCACATTATGAACGAAAAGTGTTCGCTCCCACCCTGAGAGGACTGGGAACCCTGTACGTTAGATGATCTTTTGAGTTAAAATTCGGCTTCTTTGTTGGTTTTTTTTAAAGTGGCGTCTCAGGAAGCAAAGAGTAATCCAAAATAATGTAAGCAGTTTCTAGCTTTGGGGCTTTGGTAGTCAACTATTGCAATACCTGGCTCATTTTTCCTGCCCCGAATACCACTGAATTGCTATCTTGCCTTACAGTTGAAAATGTAAAGGGCTTTGTTTTGTTTTGATGTATGTGTGTGTTTTTGAGAACTGGCAGAGGCCGGAAGAGGGCCTCCAAGCTCTGGAATTGGGATTCTATGTGGTTGCCAGCTTGAGCTGCCCCAAACCAAATGCAGGTTCTCTGAAAAAGTACTGCACAGCTGAGCCATCTTTCCAGCATCCAAATCAACTGTAAAACAGCTACACAATCAGGTTTCGTTCACCACTATAAACAATGTTTTTATGAGCGAGTCACTGGCTGAACCAATAGAAACATAAGAGAGGGGGGTCAGTCTAAATATTTCTCCTAGATTATTTGAAATCCTGAAGAATCCAAAATCAACTTACTTTAGGTTTGTTTTTATAAGATAGGCTCTTGTCCTGTAAACTTAGTGCACACAGTGGGAACATACCCTGGTCCTTAACCTCTGACAATGCCTGAATAGAATCTTTAACCACAGAGGGCAATCTGAAAGCATGGGACAGACATGCCAAAATTCAACCACAGGTTTCCTTTGTTTCCTCATATCTTAACTTCTTGCCTGCCCAATACCAAAACTAAAAACTGAATACATCAGTTCTAAAAATGACAAAAAGGTAAGGTCCAGACTCAAATTACAAGAGCAATAACAAAATTACCCAGTATCATAATAGTTTCGGTCCTTAATTGTTTTTAATTATATTCCATCTTTTTTACTAGAACATTTACACTTTTGGGAAGAAAATTGCAAAATATAATTATAAACTGTATATGTATATATACACACATGTGTATATATAAATATGTGTGTGTATATATATATATTATTAAATAGTGAACTTCTGATTGAGTGTTAGTACAAATAATGGCTTCTCTATTTTGGAAAGAATTTATATGGAATAAATGAGATTCATAATATACAAATTACTGTGTAATTCCTTGTAAGGACACATTTTCTTTGTTGTGTGGCTTATGTAATGTTGCTAATATTCATCACTCACTAACAATGGGAATATTGGTCTATAGCTAACTGTAGGTTATGTGTGTACCTCAAATTCAACATGTTAAGCATATAAAACTGAGAATGAATTGAAGAGTCTTATGACATTAAGAATGTCATAAGAATGTGGTCAATCAAGTCTTTCAGCTCTGTAATCACTCAATTAGTATCTATTATACACACGCGTACTTGTAATATATTTATTTCAACAAAAAACAATAACAGGAAGCACCAAGTCATGGTCTCAACTTAAAGGTCATCTTTCACACCTAAACAATTTTTTTCAATTTTTTGAACTATGTTTATATAATACATACATACATACATAATAAAAAGGGATAAATACTGAGCCACTACCAGAGGCCCCATAGACTGCCCAGTCCTCCTAACTAACACCACATTCAGGGGGTCTGGGTCAGTCCTATGCTGATTTCCCAGCTATCAGACTGGGGTGCATGAGTTCCCCCTTGTTCAGGTCAGCAGTTTCTCCAGCCTGGTCTTGACCCCTTTGCTCATCACTCCTCCCTCTCTGCAACTGAATTTCAAGAGTTCGCTCAGTGTTTATTTATCTGTGGGTATCTGCTTCTGCTTCCATCAGCTACTGGTTGAAGGCTCTAGGATGACATATAAGGTAGTTATCAACCTCATTATTGGGGAAGGGCATTTAAGGCAGCCTCTCCAGGATTGCTTAGATTGTTAGTTGGGGTCACAGATCTCTGGACATTTCCCTAGCGCCAGATTTCTTTTAAAACCTATAATGGCTCCCTCATTATGGTATGTCTTTTCTTGCTCTCCTCTATTCTTTCCCTGACTCAATCTTTACTTTTGACTAGACTGTTTACACATATTAATCATTTAAAATGAATTTTACATAATTTTTTGTTGTTCTTTAAATGTGAATAAATTGTCTGAAATACACTGTAAATGAAAAGTACATTTTGTGGCAGGCCATGCCTACTAGAACAGGTAGGCTTCCCTTCTGCCTTCTCCACTCTCTTCCCCCAAACCCAGTCTTCAGGATTGCTCCTAGCTGTGTAGCAGACCATTCCTCCTTGACCTTCCCTCCCCCTAGCCTCCAGTACCAGCAAGAACTCCCCGTGAATATACCAGCTAAGCAGGCCAGTGAAACAGGCAAAACACAGCCAACACACTCTCTGAAAATCCATAGGATTTTACACCTGTGTAAAAATACAATCAATAACAGCCAGGACAATATGTCTCCACTAGAACCAAACTATCCTACTACAGCAGACCTGAATGTCCCAGAATAGCTGAGGCTCAAGAAAAAGACCTTAAAATATGGAAATGATAACAGACCTTAAAGAGGAAAATAATGAATCCCTTAAAGGAAAACAAACAGTTGAAACAAACATTAAAAATTGTTCAAGCCCTGGAAGTCAAAATAGAAGCAATAAATAAATCACAAACTGAGGAAATTTTGGAAATAAAAAATTTAGGAATTTGAACAGGAACTACAGAGGCAAGCATCACCAACAGAATAAAAAAGAATCTCGGGCATCGAAGACACAATAGAAGAAATGGATAAGCTGGTCAAAGAAAATGTTAAATAAATAAATCCTGGTATAAAACATCTAATCTGAAACACTATGAAAAGACCAAACCTAAGAATAATAGGAATGGAGGAAGGAGAAAAATCCCAGGTCAAAGGCCCAGAAAATATTTTCAATAAAATCATAGAAGAAAAATTTCTTAACCTAAAGAAGGAGAAGGTACAAGAAGCTTACAGAACACCACATAGAGAGGACCAGATAAGAAAGTCCCCTTAGCACACAGCAATCAAAACACTAAATGTATAGAACAAAGAAAGAAAAAAAGTCAAGTAACACATAAAGACAGACATACCAGAATTACACCTGACTTCTCGATGGAGACTCTAAAAGCCAGAAGGGCCTGGACATATGTGCTGCAGACTCTAAGAGACAGATGTCAGCCAGACTACTATATCTGGCAAAACTTTTGATCATCATAGGTGAAGAAAATAAGAAATTTCATGATAACAATTTAAGCTACATCTACAATTTAAGCCTATAGAAGGTTCTAGAAGGAAAACTCCAACCTAAGGAGGTTAACTACACCCATGAAAACAAAGGAAATAAATAATCTCACACAAGAAAACTAAAAAAAGGAAAACTGATATACTAGCTTAGGATAAAGAGTCATTTTGTTAAGAGGTTAGAATAAGTATTTTCTATTTGCTGCAAAATTCCATTTTGATTCACATGTACCCTGTCCTGATATAAGGTGTGATAAGGAACTTTGAGATTTTCTGCCAAAATGATCTATCAAATAATATAACCCCCATATGCTGCTATAAAATTTGCTTGCAAAATCCTTATGTTACAAAATCCCCAGTTTACATGTTTCCCTATAAAAGGAGGCCTGAAAAGTTAACCCATACTGTACTCAACACTGCTCTTCTGAACTGCCAGGCAACACCTTTTCATAAACTCATTGTTTCCTTTTTCCTTTAAATTATGGCAAGTAAGAGGTTGAGAATAGTTAGGCTTTCATAATTATCTTTACTTTTAAAAGGTCATTTCTGTTTCGAGCCAGGGTTTCTCTGTGTAGTTCTGGATGTCCTGGAACTTGCTCTATAGATCATGTTGGCCTCAAACTCAGAGATCCAACTGCCACTGACTCTCCAATGCTGGCATTAAAGGCATGTGCCACTATGCCTGTCTTACCTATTTATTTTTGACATATCTTTAAAACTTGGATGTAGCTTCCAAAACCCTTTTTTTGGTAAATTATTAATTTTATTATTTTTAAATGTGTTTTTATATGTCAGGTAAAGCAGGCTGGGCATTTATGATCTTTAATTCTATTGACTAGAACTTCCAATTTATCATATACACAAACAACAACAAAAAATTGGGATCAAATGTTCCTCATTGAAGGAAGTATAAACCCAATTAATTATCTTTAATTAAATTTTACCACTTCTCAAATGGTACAGTTAATACATCTATGAAGCATAAAACCAACCAGAGTACAAAACGGCAGTTTTTCCCCAACATTTTCTCCTTCCTTGAGCTAATGATGGAGAAGTGGCAGGAAAAATTAGCAAAATTAACAAGGGGATATTCTAAAATAAATAAAACAAAAATAAACCCCTGTGCTTTGAAACTACATACACTGAAAATAAGCAATGTAGATGCTTAACCACGGCTTCTGAAGCCAAGAAAAAATATCCAAACAAATAGGATTCTAACAGCCAGCCCAGAATAACCAATGGAACATCAAGTGAATCACAAGACATCTCAGCCTAAGAAGAATTCAACACACATGTACAGCAGCAATGCTAGACTGTTGAGCACAAGGACCCTGTGCTGGCACCTGGCACTAACTCATCTGACTTCTACAGTTGTGGTAGCTTGAATGTAATTGACCCCCATAAGCTCATAGGGACTGGCACTATTAGGAGGCATGGCCTTATTGGAGTGGGTATGACCTTGTTAGAGGAAGTGTGCCACTGTGGGGGCAGGCTTGGAGATTTCCTACGCTCAGGATACAGCCCAGTGCCTCAGTTGACTTCCTCCAGGCTACTTCTCTAGCGCCATGTGCGCCTGCATGCTGCCATGCTCTCTCCATCATGGTGATAACAGACT